TCTTAAAGTAGAGTTACTTATGAAACAATATAATATAGCTGTGTCTTTGTGGCTTGAATAAGATGATTAAGTAGAGCCTGCCATATAGTAGGTGCCTAAAATATTTAAATTTTCTTTCCGTCTCTTTATATAGGATGCTATAACTTTTAAAATTTTTTACAGAAATTTAGAACTTATGATTCTGTTGCCAGGGATTGGAATGAATGTTTTTTTCTCTGTGACAATATTTTATAAGAAAATAAATAGAAATCAAATTGTGGTGACAGGATGTATATCTAATGTACTTAGGAGACAAATTATTTGAACTCTGTGTTAGCCTAATTTGAATTTTGGTTGTAATTAAATACAATGAAATTCTTTGTAATTTAAATTCTCTTTTAATTCAAACTAGCCACTAGCCTCCTTTCCCCAATTAAACCGGATTGGTGAGGTTTTACTGTGATATGGACTCTTTACATTTATTTTGTATGAAAATTATTTCAGGAGGATCAAAATGAATTTGAGACTGCATTTTTAGAAGTGTGTAGTTTACAGTTTGTATCCTATATGATGTGAATTCCCTTGAATTTATCTTTTCTATCTGAGGACAGAGCTGCTTTCTTATTGGCAGTGAAGTTTTTTTTTTTTTTTTGGGTCTAAAAAAGACTTTTTGTGAAGAGCCATTAGTTTTTTGTTCTATTCCTATTTACCTAGAATGCATGAGTAATCAGATGATCAGGTAAATTGATTATTTTAGTTAATTGTTACCTAAAGTACTGTCTTTTAGTGGTCAGATTTTGGTAATATTAGTGTATATTACACCTAATAGAAAGGCTGTACTGACTGGTTTAATTTTTAATAATTCTGAAGACTCAGGTGATCATTATGAATATCAGTTATGTAGTATTCTGAATAAAAAAGTTATCTGAACTTTCTAGTTAGGAATCTAGGTAGGTGAAAGTTTATTATTATTTGTTGATACTTGTCTGTAACTTATCTAAAGGAAATGCTAATTTGGTAAATAATATGTTGGAAATCTACCTTTTAAAATTTTTATTCATTTACTAAATATTTTATTTAAGAGAGA